GAAGTGTACGGTCGAAAGTTTAAATAGAATAAACAATTGTTTCATGAAAAGCTACATATTTAAGAAAATGTATATTTTCTCATTAAAAAAAAAATGTTTCAATATAAAAATATGTCAGTATGAGTAAATATATTATATTAGCACTTACCACGAATAAATATTTGGTTTTTTAGATATTTTCTCATTCAGTGTATATATTTTTGGGATTAAAACCAGAAGAAGATATAAAATTCGCGAGAATGATTTCTTTAGCGGATTTCCATCGCAGTACACGAAACGGCACGCGGAGTTCGGCTGCGCGAGCCGAGTTTTTTTCGGAGATTATCCCGCGAAACTTGCTAATTGTTGTGTCTACCTGCGATCATCCACGTGACTCGCACGCAAACAAATCACCTAGCAGCAGCTTTATCAACGTCGCGCCCGTAAAAAGGGATTTTATTATCGCTGCGGTGTTTGTTTCGCAGTTTCGGCGCATCAGTTACAAACAGTGGCGGCAGTAAGGCCGCGTCTATCTATCGCGGCTTTTGAAAAAGAGCGAGCATTATCTAACACAACGAGCGCCTCTTCTCCTCTCTTCCCCTCCTGTTGCCCTCTGATCCTGTCCCCTCCCCCTCCTACCACTCGAGAATTTTTAATAAGCGATATCGACGACGTTGCGAATTTACATAATAGCGAAATGCGTAAATCCTGTGCTTAGTCAATTCCACGTGGTGAGGTGAACACGCGGAAGGGGGCTGGAAGAGGAGGCGGGAGAGGGGGTGCAGGAAATAGTCGCTTCGCATCGTCGACATTAAAATTGCAAAGCGTGCAGAGGCGCGTCCTGCGCCCCGCTTTTCTTCGATCCTCTTTTCCTCTCTTCCTCCCCCCCCCCTCTCTCTCTCTCTCTCACGGCCTTCACCGTCGACGTTGTCATGATTGTACCCGGAGAGATTCTGCTTCGACAAGTAGCACTAAATGAAAAACCCGTCGTTGTCTGTCGTGAAAACGCGCTCTCGCGCTCGCGGAGATGCGTTATATTAAAATCCGGCATTGTTCGGCAATGATACCGGATGGGCCGGTGCGATGATAGGCGGCAGGAAGGAGGCGGCAACCTTGGGAGAGAAGATACTTTCTTTCCACACATATATGTGTACATATCGCTCGCGAAATCGCTTTGGCGCGCGCACGACTCGCCGATACGCGCGCGGAAAACTCCGGTGTAATAAAGATAATGAAGACCGATAAAGTCGATAAAATCCGAAAATGCTGATAAATTAAACGCGAACGGAATCGCCGCTCGGCAAACTTGCTCCGAACTCTCCCCCCCCCCTCTCTCTCTCTCTCCGTCTCTCACACGTGGACGTGAGCTACGAGATTTACTTGCGAATTCCATTCGACATGCGATATTTAATCGACCGTGCCGGAGATCGAGTGATTATAATAGCCGCGAGAGATCGGAAATGACTCCACTCGACCGTCGACGAGAGTTATACGAATATAGGGAGAAAAATGGAGCGGCGGAGAGTAGGAGCTAGTCCATAATTTGTAAGCTCTTTTTCAGATATGACTTCATATCTAAAGAGCTCACGAATTATGGAACCATCGCTCGCCGCTCTCGCCCCCCCCCCCCGAACTTGTTATCGTAATTGGAATCGATATTATCGCCTGTGTGGGCTCGTGTCCGCCGACGTTACGTGTAATTAAGAATTTTCAATTACCGTGGGAAAATCAAGAACATGCACGAGGAGCAGCATGTCAGGAGTGGACACGAATTATTATAGAAATGTCTAAATCTGTTGTACGTCGAGTGGACGGTGGGAGATAGCGGATCGTGAAGATAAGACAGCGACTTAAGAAAAATAGTGATAGCCTAGATCGCGCAGGAAAACAATCACGCTTGGATGAAAGCGAACCTTTTGCAAAAACCATCACTGCGCGAGGAACGAAGGCACCGATTTGTGCTCGTTAATTCTTTCCGCACGTGCTCTCTCTCTCTCTCTCTCTCTCTCTCGAGTATGCGCGAAAATTCAAGAAACACATTTTCTCACTTAACCCTTTGCACTCCAGCCTAGTAATGCATAGAGGCTATTAGTTCCAAGTACATACCTATGATGTAGAAGAAAAATAGAGTCGTTTCAATAAAACAAAATTTTTATTTCTTAGCTATTTTATAACAAAACATATTCTAACTTATATTATAAAAGAAAAACATAAATTTTAGGACTTAAAATTTCTTAAAGTGCCGAGGCAGCAAAACAACCATGTCGCCGCTACGACAGCGGAGTGCAAAGGGTTAACACATTCTCCACAAGTCAAAAGTCAAAAGTTCCTCTCAATCTTCGCGCAAGCACGTCTTTCGCATTTAGCTGGGGAAAAAATTCTTAAAAATTTATTTGTGGAAGATTTGGTTTATTTCACAGAAGTCCCTGTGAAACAGAGGAGAAATTCAGTGAAATAAAAAAATCTTATATCCCGTAAATAAATAAATTACTTCTTCCATTGCACATTGAGTTTCAAAACAGTTTTTATACAGTTTTTTAAAATAGTAATCTATCAGCGCTACTCGCAAAATTATTATTATATTTCACTATTATTATTATTCATTTTGAATACTTGTAATATATATTTTTATCGCATAAATTGTAGTGTCAGTCAAACATTTTAGCGGCACAGTATTCAAAGAACGAAAGGTGACGGCTGTACTGAAAAAAAAAAAAACGCTACATTTAAGTCAATATCTGCTAAGGAATGTTGAAGTAATTATTTCATTTGGATTAAGTAAATATCATTTGAATATAGCTCTTTCCTTCTAGTGTGCTGTATCCAAGTAAAATATCTACTTAATCGAAGTAAAATAATTATTCCAACACTCCTCGGCAGATATTTACTTAAATGTTTCAGCACAAATTTACTTAAACGTGCGCGGAGAGAAAAAGATTTAAAAATTCATCAGTAAAATATAAGATTTATTTCATAAGAAATATAAGATTTATTTCATAAGAGATCAACATTTATTTGGACACGGCGAGGTGAAATTTGATTCCTAGCAAATAAAACAATTAATAAGAAAACAGATATATATCTCACAAAAATGCATATTCCGCCATCAAAGTCAAATTTCTCTCTAACCGACAAATATCGAAGAAATGCCGCAAGAAACACTTACTTTGCGAGGATTCAACTTCTCAGTACAGCACTCTTTGCCTTCCGCTGTGAAAGTTGCTTTTTGTTCATGCTTCAACTAATCGTGAGATAAGAAAACGACGCGAGAGAAAAAGAGAGAGAGAGAGAGAGAGAGCGCTCGTCTCCGGCCGAGCGAGATCGCGAATTCGCCGAACGCCGATCGCCGAGTATTAAAGCTCTCCCCGGTACTTTCCGCCTCTCTCACGCGTTGAGCTTCGCGAAGACCGGGCGAATTTCGCGGATTTCGCGCACGGGAGTCCCGGCATACCCCGAAACGAAGAACATCGGCCGCCGGGGCCGCGGCGTAATTCGGATAGCAACGGCGATCGAAATTTGCGGCACGCTCAGAATTGGGCCGCATCGATCGAGCTATCGCCGCCGCTACGCGATTCGTGCGCGCTTCACGTCGCGCGATATCTTGCGCGAGGTCGAGAGACAAGCTCTCGAGGGGGCGAGTTACATATTCGCGCGTAAACAAATCGCGTCCTCTTTTGTGCCGTAGCAATGGCCGCCGTATCGGCCCGCTAACGAATCCGTTCACCGAACTCGTTCGAAGACGAAGGATCGAGGCCTGCGATTCTCCGTTAATTATAACAAGCTGCGCCGAGAGAGATTAATCGGCGCCTGTTCGTTAACTAACTGTTGACTGGCCCCGAATACCGTTTAATTAATCCGTTATCTGACGCGAAATGTACTTATTAATTCACCCGGACCGATTCTTTTTCTCTTCTTTCTCTCTTTCTCGCTCTCTCCCTCTCTCTCTCTCTCTCTACGTTCTGCACTTTTCCATGTTATGTACATGCGCGCGCACGTAAAATTATACGCGGAGCAAAAGCAGACGCACTCGCTGATCCAAGGTTAATTAATTTGCATTGTTGTTGGTGCGACTCGCGGTAGCATGTTAACTACTTGCTGCTTAATTAACGTGGAGAGGGAGGGGGGAGGGAGGGGCGGTCGCGATATCTTCGGGGAGAAATTCGCGGAAACGCGGAAGTACGTGCAGGTTTGTGCACGTTCGATCGGCGTATCGACGTGTTGCGTTTCGCAATAAGAGAGCAGCTTTTACCTGTGTGTGATCGTTGTACACGACGCATCGAAGAGCACAGGGGAGATGAAAGACGCGCGCGAGGAGTTCTGAACGTCGGCCAGCTTCCGCGACGACGATTCGCGGAAGCTCGCAACGCGAGCCTCGTCGACGAACAGCCGCGTTCGTTACGGGCAGGTTCCACTTGAAGCTAGCAACGACATGAAGCTAGCAATGAGCGGGCATATTATTCTATCCTCGTCTCTCCCGTGACGTACAACGGAATCGGGACGTCGTTGGAGTAAAATCTGCCGCAAGGGTGCGCCGTTATCGGCGTTGAGGAGCGTCTTCTTTATCTTTCTACTCCGCTCATTAGATACAAAACAAGAACGGAATGACGCTTCAGCGCCGACAGCGTGGCTCCCCGAACGCACCCCCTCGGCCGGCTCGATCGTCGTGGCGCAGCAACAACGGCCCGTATCATACAAAGCGGGAATAACTGGCGGCGACGAGGATCGCCGGCCGTTCGCGCCGACAAAGTTTCGCGCGAGCGATCGCGTGCTGGTAATTAAACCTCCGGTCGTCGTCTCGCCCGCACACCTCCTACACCGCTCTCTCTTCGCTTCTCTTCCCTCTCTCTCCCGCACCTTCCGATTGACTCCGCGAGACCCCGGAGCCCGACCATCGATTTCGTTTGAAACACGGAGTGTGCGGGCGAGAAGAGGAGGGAGAGAGGAGAAAGGAAGCGAGAGAGAGAGAGAGAGAGAAGAGCGGCCGAAACGAGCGGATCCGCGAGGGGGATGATCGGCCTTACCTGGGGGACATTCGTCGACGGGTTACTCTCTTCCCGAGGCAAGGCGCGCGCGCGCGCGCGCACACACACACCTGTCGAGGAGGTCGGCCGACAAACTAAACAATCACTATGAGAGCGACGGCATAGCGCGGTGCATGACGGCGCGGGGCGACGCGACGAACAATCTGAGACGAGCCGGTAGGCCAGCCGCGCACCAACTGCAAAAGCCGTGCGAAGGCAGCAGCATCTTTGGCATTCGCGCACGATATCGCGCCTGATTCTGTGCCGTCGCGCCGCTGCTCATGCACGGCCCTGTGCTCGATCGATACGCGCGCGCGCCCGCGTCAACGTGGCGCCCTCGGCCGGCGGCGTCAGGCGCGCCGCCGCCGGCAGAAATCCCAAGCGTCGGCGGTTATCATCCGCGCGAATCGAAACAGAGGTTTTTATTACCGAGTGCCTGCGCGAATGTGCGCGTGTGTGTGTGTTGTGTTCCACGAGAGACATCCGGGTGGGCTGAAACCAGGGTCGGGTCGATTCCGCGAGTTCGAAGGTGCCCGCGGGCGATTTTCACCGAAGACCGTCGATATTAAGCGCTCTCCGTTCGACGCAGCGCCCCGGATGTTAACGATTGCGATTTATTTACTTGTTATTATATATGTAACAAAATAATGTCGGGTTAAAAGACGCGATCATTGATCGCGCCTATCTTGATTATTATAGCGAAACGAGAGATCCGTTATTCCTGATACACACACACACACTTCTTATATTTTTACTCGCAATCTTTCTCTTTCCTTTTTTTTTATAGACCAAGTCTATAAACATATATACTGATTTTACCTTTAAAATATACTTCTAACCGAGTTAATTTTACAGATGATTAACTTTTAACTTGATTAGAAATAAAGATTAACTTACTTAACCCTGTAAAATACACACATAACGCAACGAGTGACATTATTATGTTATTAGCGTTTTCTAATTAAATTTCTGTTGTGATCAAAAGACAGTGCTCCACGACTCATTGTCTTGCTTTGGACGAAAGTATTTATTACAAGAACTTGATGCGTATTTATCAACATATTCGCCATTATTGCGTGAAATCACATGCCGACAATACATTAAGAAACTTAAGCTTATTAAGGGATATTGGCGAGATAATCTTTGACATTGGAGGGATCCAATTTCCTGAAGCCATTTGCGTCGCAAATACCGACTTCGATGTTATCCGCCGTCATCTGACCCTCGAATCCCTCTTTCAGCGTAAGGATGGCGGTGTGAACGGCGTCGTCCAATTCTAGATCCTCGCTGTACCTCTTCTCAAGGAACGTTTTGCCGTTGATGAAATTCTTACCCATAGCGGTCGCCTTCCACGCGAAGTACGTGCCAGAAGGATCGCATTGGAATAAATAAGGTCTATCATTGTCCCAGCCACAAATCAAAAGAGACACCCCGAAAGGTCTGACACCTCTGCAAATTCGCAATGATTTTATATTAGTTTCCATTTCACCGATCTCGCTGCACTTGGCTTCCGAGTTGGAGTTGCGTTTTTGTAAATTCGTTTTCCAAGTTACACGAATGTTTCAGTTTATTTTATCAGGGAGAGGAGCAGCCTGATATTGAGGACATGTTACAATACTAGGTTATTCTTCCCCTTGATGAGGTCGACTGAAACATTCATGAGATATTTATCGGAAATTAATCTATAAAAGATGCAACTCTAATCCAGAAGTCAAATGTAGCCTATTTGCATACCAAAAAGCCTCCAAATCAAATTAATTACAGCTAATCATTAAACCAAGTACCTTCACTGATCTTTTAACAAATATGTGCTGAGTTCATTCAGTTAAACATCGATGGGACACAATTTGAAAATAAATACAAGGTTACACCAAAGGAAACCAAAACATCACTCACCCAGATTGTGTGTATTCTTGCATAACCATTGCGACACGTTGCACGAGCTGTGCGGTAGGAATGGGCTCTCGATAGACCAGGAGATACTGCTGTGCCATCTTTCTGGCTTGCTTCACTAATAATCTATAATCCGGGCCCATGCCGCTGTAGACCATACCGATGTGCTTGGTGATCATTTCGACCTTACTGACGCTGTGTTCATCGTAAAGGATCGACTTGTGTTTGTTCTCGGTGGCGAGGACGACGCCGTTCAGCGCCTTGATGCCCACGCTCGGCGCGCCAGCCGCTACCGCCGCCAAAGCATACTCTATCTGCACCAATTTGCCCGACGGACTGTAAAACACAGTTTCATTATCTCACCTTTGACATCTTTCTTCCACCTTTCGGTCCAACACATACAGAATTTGACGAGTCATCCTGTCATAGGTATTATCCGACATTACGCGTTTCTCGAACGAAATACACTTGTATTTATTTGCGCACTTGTCAATACGACGATGACGTTAATCGGATAACGCTGATTCGATCGGAGATTTTCATTCATCACGATTACACAGAAGATGCTGAACGAGCCCGGTTTGGAGGTTAGGTAGTTGTCAGGCCGCTTTTCAACAGATTCACGTTTTCCCTCGCGGATGTAAGACACCGATTGGGATCGAAACGAACTTTGCTCGACCGATCGTATGATTCTGCATGTACTTACCTAAAAGTCGTCAACGAAAAACTGTATCGCTCCGATGCCATGACAATCACTTTGCAACAGCAAAACCACTCGCACGAACACCGCGACAATCGTGATGTTTGGAGCGGCAGCGCTGCGACAGTGCGTCATGTTCGCGCAAGAAATGTCCCTGGAATTTCCGCATTTTCTTAGGGACACGGGGATACAGGACGCGAGCGCTGCGCCGAGACAAACCGACCAATGGCGTGCGTAATGTAGAAATATGGCGTCGTCTGATGTGAAATTCAAATCGTCGTGAGACTTCGTCGATCCAACGGCTGTCTTCAGATCCGTCTCGAAATAAAGGAAGAAACTTGGCTGTCGTTTCTCACATATCGACGCATCGACGAGCGCATTTACGTTTACAACGCAAGCCGGATGATATGACGAGTACACCGGATTCCTTCGTCGCTGCACCGGAACGTGAAGAATAATCGAGTTGAGAGCATGATCGACGATCATTGACAGATTAGACGAGAAGGAAAGAAAATGATCGGCGACACGACGCAGAATCAAGCGGACACGGAGCTCATCGCGTGGATCGATTCCGTCCCCTTCTCGAAACCCGCGAAAAATCTGACGAAGGACTTCTCGGACGCAGGTAACTTCAATCTACGTTTCTTCTTCGATTTCGCCGGTACCATGTGTGTTCTCTATTTATCCTCTCTGTGACATTTATTAACTTATAATTATATATATTTATAATTATACTTACCTCTAATTATATTTCAGATATACTTGAATGGGAAATAGGTTTATTCTTTCTTTTTCTTGTTTGATCTGCTAAATGACTATTTAATCATATGTATCAAAGGATCTGTCTTTTTAATATAAAGGATTATTATTATTACTTTATTTATATAATTTATTCTTAAACACAACAGTCCTTGTGGCGGAGATCCTGAAGCTGTACTACCCACGATATGTTGAACTGCACAATTACGTACCAGCGAGTAACTTGAACACGAAGATCGATAACTGGAACACTCTGAATCGTAAAGTGCTCGCAAAGATCGACGTGAAGCTGAATAAGGACACAATCTGTCACTTGGCGAACGGGACTCAGGGTGCAATTGAGAAACTATTGTTGGAATTGAGGACAAGGATCTTGAAAGACGACGAGAAGTTGCACAAACAAAAACTCACAAAGCATAACGAAGAAGGCATTGATATACAGCTGTCAAGTAAGCAGATTTACATATTGAAAGTTTAGATGATTTCCATTATCTGATGAAATCGTATTTCTAGAGGAAAAAATCAGGGATAACTCGCCGTGCGGTGAGCAACTTAACTCGCCAGTGGGGAGCTTGGACAGTCCCGAGGCAAGTGACGGGATTTGCCAGCCTAGTCCGGTTTCAAAAGTCGGACGTTTCAAGCGAGGGATTTCCATGGTCTTCGGTTGGATTGCTTCTCTTTTTCTCAGGAACATCTTCAGGTCCTTCCGTTTTAACAAACATTCCCGTGAGTATACTCAACGCGTAAAAACAAATCCGTTTGCGTGCGTCGTTGGTAAAAGAAAAAAGAATGATGGATCTTCGAACACATTTCCGTAAGGCAACGCACTCGTGGACGTCGCGACTCAGCGATATAAGACCGACGAGAGCGTGCCGCGCACGATTTACGAGAAGATGAAGAGAGAACTGCGCGAGAAGGAAGAGACGATATGCACCTTAAGTCACAAGATCGCGTACTTGGAGAGTTCGGTGAAACTCAAAGACTTGCGTATCTCCAGCTTAACCGCGCAAATTCTGCAGAACGTGGTCGAAATGGATTGTCCGGCCGCAAGATCGTCGCCCGGCGACGTTGCCCGGATGAAATCGCACTCTCGATCGCACAATTTTCACGAAACTAAGGCGAATTAGAAATGCATAATGATGCTAGAAATATTCTCTCTTCTATATTCTCGGAAAACTTACTTTTACGATAGATATAAAATATTTCCTCTGTTAAGTGTTGAAAGTTGAAAATGAAAAATCAGCGCGTATCGTGTTACTGTTCCTCTTTCTCTCTCTCTCTCTCTCTCTCGCTACGTCAATACACAATGAAAATGCACGAGAGAAATTAAGTAATTCAGTAGCTAAATTGTAGATGCGTGCTTCGACTAGTCGGTTAGTCGGTCGGTCATTTTCTGGGTAAATAAACAGCCAACGAGCATGTTGGCGAAACGAACGGAATTTCTGCGTTTTAACGGGACAAATAGTTTTAATATATACCGTGATTTTATTTTCAAGACACGCGCCGATTCATTCTGTTTCAATTACTTCTAACGGGAAGAATAATTTAAAAAAATGATCAACTTCTCCGGCCGAGAGAAGATCTCACGGAACGGATGTCCAATGACATTTCTCAATATCCTCCTTCGTATCATCTTGTGTATTTAAAAAGTTTATTTTTCATTCTATCATATTTAGAAATTATATGTTAGGGACAGCTGCCTATATACAGGGTGTTTGATACAATAGGTGCCGTCCTGCCCGTCATATATTTGTAGTTCAGGTCAAAGTGAAGAAAAATCTTCTACCATTGCAGAATTTCGAGTTATTAATTATCGACAATGGCCATATACAGAAGCTTCTTTAATTAATAACTCAAGAAATTGCGTGGTTATTTGCAGAATGGTAAAGGATTTTTTTCTCCAGAATGGCTCGATTTACGAATATACAGCGAATATTGTACCTACAAAGGCTCGAGGTTAAAGGTTCAGCATGCTGATATCTATCGGTAGATACAACAGCCATGTTCAATAATTAATAACTCCAGGTTTTGTGTGATTGTTTGAAAAATAGTAGAAGACTTTTTCTTCACATTGACCAAAACTACAAGCGTGTAACGGATGGGACGGTTTATGTCGGACACTCTATATATAAATCGAAATATAAATCGAACTTCGTCATTTTTTCCGATAATTGTTGAATATAAGTGCGATACGGTGGTAAATATATTAAATAAATGAGCAATGAGGAACATATTCAAAACTCTTGAACGAATCGCATTGTGTTTAATATGCGACATAAACACTTTGAAGATACCTCAAGTAGTACAATTTTGGCAATTCGTAGTCACTAAGTATCTGAAAAGTACATTACATAAATATTCATCGAGCTACGTTCCAGAGAGGCGATGCGATTGCAAAAAGGTGAAGAGCAAAAACCGGTAATCGGACACGCGAATCCAGACAAGATGCACAACAGGATATCAAAGGTTACTTGCATCTCAAGGCTACTTTTTCCTCATCTCTCTTTTCTGCAAGAGGAGGAAGAGAGGGGGGGAGGGTATTTCCTAGCCACTTTATACCATAAGTCACGAAGAATAATTTTAGTAACTGTCTAACTGTCGGATCTGGGTTACGGCACGCAAAGAGATGATGAGAGATGAAGATTCCGCTGCTGAAATGAATGTGAGTATAATTACGCGAATTCCATTAGCGTGTTCTCTCAGTGGTTTACCGTTAGACGCTGCGCTTAGCCGAGAGGTACGTAACCCAGATCGTCGCTCGATGCAATACGTCGAAACGAAAACGCATACAACAACGACGGATCCCTTTTTCTCTTCCACTTCTCTCTCTCTCTCTCTCTCTCTTTCTCTCGAGTAGTCATGATCGAGGTGAGATAGTCGGAATATATTAGCAAATAAGTGTCGCTGCCTACGTAACCAGCCGACTGAGATATTACGAAGGAATAGCTACGAGCTCACAACCACCTAGCTGGTCCGGCAAACAGGACCAGAAGGTGGGAGAAGTCTTCCTGGGGGAAGCCGAGCGAGTCATGCTGAGTGGGCTCTGGCCTTCAGTATTAACTTCAGCAAGTGATTGTTAGACAGTTCCTCTGCTACAGTGCGCGCAGTAAGCCCGTTTGATTATTAACCCTTTGCACTCGAGGGCTCCGGAGCGGAGCCATTTAAAATTTGTCTTCAAACTTAAAACAAACTATTAACAACTATTAACAAATTAACAAAATTAAAAAAAAACAATAACATACAACAATGACTTTTCTTTTAATCCGCATATCATTTACTTATATGTGAATATGATCTTTCCATTGAAATTGCTTCGAGTTGCTGGTAATATGAATGAAAAAAAACTTCGAGTGCAATGGGTTAATTTTCCCGAATATTCCTCTGATTGTTAAATCGAGTGCCGTGTCGAATTCGGGCCGATGCAAAAATACATCCTGTCTCCTAATCGAAATGTGCACAATATTGATTTATTTATTCTAAAGTACGATCAATCCATCAAGTGCATCCCGTTTTGTTCGGCGATCTGCCGTCCGATAGCGGCATGATTTCACGCTAGAGATTATGGAGATTTTTTAAATCAGACGAATCGATTAAAAAACGGTACTTTCGCATCGACGATTCGATAGACACGCCGGTTTCTCCACGTTGAGATTGTAGTGACGGAGAGTGTGGGGTCACGGCCAAGTCAGATGCAGGTGTTTTTTGCGCGAAGAAAAGAACCTGTTTAGTCAAGTGACATTGACGCGACGTCAATGACATGACCTACGTTTACATTGAGCCACACGAATAGTTTATTTAACTGTTAATTGATCATCGATTAATCGCGAGTTAGTCGTACTCTAATGAAGTTTTCTTTTTTTCTCCAAATAAACACACCTAGTCATTTGCGGAAACCTGTTCCTCCACGCCGTTCCGAACGAAGCTGTTCCTCTGATATTTAACTTGACCTCATGCGTGATTGCCAAGTACTCCTCGAGGAGTAACGCGAACGTCGCTGAGACGAGCGGCGCACATGGTCAACGACCCTGGCCTGACCGGTGAATCGAACGTCGTACTTTCGCGCTCTCCCCGCCGAGCCAGAAAATTGTAGAAGTGTGAAGACGCGCCGATCCGCGGAGGAAAACCCCGTGAAATCGACCTCCTTTTCCGGAGTTAACAGGATAACACGATCCCGGAAGAAGTGGAATGTTCACGAAACGTCGGAAACAAATGACGCGATATTAACTCAGAAATCAAGATTAAGCATTTCTCCGTCGTCGTGGCAGTCCCGAAAATATCCGAATTTCGAGATAAATTTTTCAAATTCGATCAACCGTGAGAGACGCGTCTCCGACTTTTTCCCAAGTAGAAATGTATCTTACATAAAAAAAATATCAGAAGAAAAATAAAATATTTCGGAAAAAGTATAATAAAGTATAAAAGTATAATAAAAATATTTCGGAAAGTATTTATTTTTCGATTATCTTACCCTAGTACTTTTATATGCAGGATAAACAGAGGAATCGATTTGTGTTGTAAAAGACTATAAGATTGCATTTAAAAAATGAAATTGCTCTTGAAATCTTGAATTATTGACTATAGAATGAAGTTAACCAGTCACCAAGATATGTTCTCCTATATATCCTACACCGTTGATAATCGGTGTCTCTTATCTCTAATCGTTTTCGAAAAAAAACACGGTGAACTTTCTATCAGATTATTTAGTAGTTGCGCACAACAATAGCTCGTAGAAACTGTGTAATTTCTGAATCAAGAATCGGTTGAGGAACGGAAGAACTTCACCGGTACATTCGTGACTGGTGCTAAGCTTAACCTGCTATGTTAATTACGTTCTTACGTTGCTTTATTTCTTTCTCTCGCAGGTAACATGATATTGGACGGTATCACTTGTGCGAAGTTGCTTTGCTTGGCCGCGGCCATCGTGCTGGGTGGTGCGGCTCTGCTTTTGGTGGGCCTCTACCTCTACTTTACCTTCACCCGGGGAGTCTGCAAAAGCAAGAGCCGGATGGACGGGAAAACGGTGATAATTACCGGATGCACCTCGGGCATCGGCAGAGAGACCGCGAAGAATCTCGCCAAAAGAGGAGCCAGACTTATCATGGCATGCAGGAATACAGACAAAGCTAATCAGCTGAAAGGTCTTGTCCCTAATATGACGATTTTAGCTATAAATATAGGACAATTATTTTCTAAAGATTCTAGGTGTATATAACTCGTGCGTGATACAACAATTATAGAAATGTATAAATTGGTATAAATGACTGACGTGAGAAAATGCGTGTTAAGAATTCATAAGTGCGGTCTTTTAGAAGCAGAAACAGATTTTGTAATCTGCCTTAGTATTCTAAAATTCCGTCACGTTATTCCTTCTCTGTCGCCTTTAACTCGACTCGTTAAAGAAGTGTTTTGATAAGAAGCAACGTACGTTCTGTTAGTTTTAATATACAAGGTTCGTACTCGCTTCGGCAATATAACTCTACTCGTTAAAGAAGCGTTTCGATAAGAAGCAACGTGCGTTGTGCTAGTTTTAATATACAGGTTACATCTTCGTTGTTACCTAAGACTCACTTTGGCGCATCTGACATGCGTGTTCTGTCCAGATGAAATTACGAAAGAAACCAACAACAGCAACATCGTGGTCCGCATGTTAGATCTGTCGTCGTTGCAATCGATCAGGGAATTCGCCAAGCAGATCAATCGGGAGGAAGCCAGATTGGACGTGTTGATTCACAACGCCGGTACCGCGGAAACCTTCCGGAAGAAGGTTACGGAGGATGGATTGGAGATGACTATGGCCACCAATTACTTCGGGCCCTTTCTGCTGACCCATCTCTTGATCGGTAAGAAGTCGAAACATTAGATTCCCGATTCAGGTAATATTTTTTACCTGGAGAACTTAAAGGAGAATCATAATATGGCCAAAAATTAATTAATTGAATATGATGAGGGAGAAAGTGGATATTAATATAGGTAATACAGAAATTGGGAAATATAAACGAATTTGTTCAAAATATTAGGTAGATTCAGAATGTTTTTTCAACAGTGGACTTTTCATTTGTTATGACATATTTTCTTTTGAAAAATGCTGTGTCAACATTTTCCAATGTTTGTGGGAAAAAACATTTGAAACTACTTGATAAAAGATTACGACACGTTTGATCTGTTTTTCTTATCTGAAATGGCTGCGCTAGTTGAAGAAACTTATGCATACTTAAGCTCTAGTGAACCTCGTTCGTACGCTTCACACGCTTCAGTATGTGTACGTAAATGTCTTGAAGTAGTGCCAGTTAAGAAGAAGAAACTAGTTAATTAATCCGTGATAGATGCATCGAACAAGTAGTTGCAAAAAAATAAACGACTTATTTCCTTGAATAGATTTGCGTGACAGACACATATTAATGCGGTCAAATGTCAACGCAAAATGTTCATAATAGCAGTAGTTAAACTTGATTTATGAATATTTTAAACGCGTCTATGTGCACATATACAGGATGGACCATTTTAATCCATCCAGTCGAATATTTCGAAAACCAAGTCCGGGAAAGAAAAATTTTTCAGACAAAAGTTGTTTGGTTTCGAGGGGACCATAAGACGGTACTATTGGTTTGACCTTGAAGAATTATTTGAAAGTCACATGAAGGTCACCTCAATTTTTTTAAATAGCATCCTCTATTTTTTATTACATATTCTTGTAGCTGACCTCGAGAGCTTTCCAAAACACTATAATGAAATGTTTCTTCATTGAGTACTTTTCGAGTTATAAAGCTCCAAAGTTGCAATTTGAAAATGCATGATGTGCTCTTTGACGTCCTAAACGGCCTTGGCGAGCTCTTAGTTCGAGGTCCCGGATTGTAGTATGATTCGGATGTTGTTCTCTTTCGCGGTAACGATTCCGGTAAACTCGCGAAGCTTCATGATAATTTAGTTCACATTCTCCGAGAACAAGGAGAATATCAACAATCTCTGAGGGACGATAATCAGCCATGGGTATTGTTGGCAGACGTAAGCCTCTGTTACTAACGATTACTACCGATTACTAACGATTACTAACCATTTGCGCGCCAATCTAAGACAATTTTTCATAGTTTACTCATTAACATATTGACGAGATCCACTTCATTCTGATTGAAAAAAACATCGCCAATTATCGCAAGCTATATGACAATTATTGTTTCATTCATAGAATGTTCTCAATGTTTCATCCAAATGATAAAAATGGTAAAAACATTAAAACGTGACATATTAGAAATGTGAAATTTTAATTACACTGAAATGTCTGTGTAAAATTGTAATTGTGCATAATTAAAATATGCACTCTGCCTAGTGAGAGCGTGACCGACGTAATTTTTAAACTATTACAAAAAAATGAAAAAAATAAAATATATACTGCGCAATTAGTACTATGACGCTTTTATATTAATAAATCGTCCATTCACCGCCGTTGTCAATTATTAGTAAAAGTCAAATAATAACTGAGCCTGTCCGTATAATCGTCGTAAAGGAAAAGTTCGTTTATCTACTCGTTCAAAAGTCGACATAACGGTTTCCAAACAGAAGTTTGCCCGGTCACACTCTTATAAAACAGACTGTAACATTTTAACGGTTCTCCGAGACAAATCAGATATTAATTCATTTGTTAGAAACAGTATGCTTAATACTCATGACATATTTAATAGCGTAGCGAAAAGACTATGATCGATAAAATCAGTTTTGTAATAAATGCCACGAATGGTAGTGTCAGATGTCAGTATTAATAATCACGCATGTATTAGTAGTTTGTTATTCCTTGCTCGGACAGCGATATAGATTTATAGCCTTGAAAGAAAAACTGCAATTTTAATAAAGACCGGTTGCTTTTTTATCCTTTCGCAATATCCTTTCATAATATTACTTTTTTCCTAACAGATTTATTGAAACGATCGAAACCGAGCCGTATCGTGGTGATCGCGTCGGAGCTGTATCGGATAGCGCGCTTGAATCTCAACAATATCAACCCTACGTCGACTCTACCGGCGTATCTGTACTACGTGTCGAAGTACGCGAACATAGTTTTCACGTTGGAACTGGCGCGACGGCTGGACGGCACCGGAGTGACGGCGAACTGCCTGCATCCCGGAATGGTAGATAGCGGAATCTGGCGAAACGTGCCCGCCCCGTTATCCTGGTGCTTGTATCTCATAATCAAGGCTTTCTTCAAGACACCTGAGCAGGGTGCTCAGACGACTATTCATCTCGCCGTTTCCGAAGAGCTCAACGGCGTCTCGGGAAAATACTTTGTAGATTGCGCTGTAAGTCGTATTTTTTTTTTCTCGAGTTTTTTCTGTCGTGAATTTGTGTGAATTTCTATGAGAGGGAAATTTTAACGATCACCGTTGAATGTTGAAGTAAAAAAAAATATTTAAGAAGAAGAAACTATACTTGAGAAATCGAGGAAAAACTTAGAAGGTATAAATAGAGAAGTATAAAAATATATAAATGTTTACTCGGTAGGAGTAAAAAGATTATATAAGAAAAAATGAAAGGAATAATATATAGATTTTGAAATGATGTGAAGTAAAAACGAGCTTACACATTTTTGGATGTTCGTATTGTAAAGAACAACTGAAAAGGTTTCTTATAAAAAATTATCCAACTTTCATACGTTACCAAGCTTCCGCATGAGCATCTTTAGTGGCACCGAAGGAGCCGCCGAATCGATAATGCACTTCACGTCAAGTGCGCTGAAGCATGTCGTTAGTTATGGTGCCAATGGCTGCCACAACTCGGTCGCACAAGGTATTTGGATCAGGCGAGGAGAGAAGGGGACATCCCCCCCAGCCATCTTATTCCCCTGAACTCACCCCTTATATTACTGCATGTGGGGGTATATCAAGGACATCGTTTACTCCACCAAGACGTGCCCAGACCCGAATACCTCGCGCAACCAAATTGTGGCAGCCATTGGCACCATAACTAACGACACGCTTCGGTGCACCTAATGTGAAGTGCATTACCGGCTCGATATTCTTCGTATCACTGAAGGTGCTCATACGGAAGTTCGCTAATTTTTCGTAAGAAACCTTTTCAGCTGTTCTTTACGATACGAGTATCCAGAAATCTGCACGTGTTCATTTTTATATGACATCATTTAAAAATCCCGGAGGTTCATCGTGTACACACTGTTCTTTAGGAATTCATGTTATACTTGTAATTATATTTTAGAAATATGAACTGTCGAACGCTGTGAAGGATCCCGCCAAAGGCAAGAAACTGTGGGAGTTGAGCGAACCTTTGGTGAAGCTGCAACCATCGGACTCGAAGATCTGAACGCCCTCGGCGTGCGTGTGTGTATGTGTGTATTCTTCTTTTTAGAAACTTCTGTCTTTCCCTGATAGCGGGTAGTTTTGTACTTAAGACCTCAACGCTAATTTCACAAGTCGCCGATGTCTTATCTCAATGAAGTGGAACTCTACGAGCCGGTGCAAAACATTACATTTTCTCCGACTCGGTAACTTTAACGACATTCTCGGACGGCGGGATTCTTTAACGTCATTTTCCATCTTCTTTTCTCCTGAGTACGTTTATCAACGGGTACAGTATAACAGCTGGTTAAGTAACGGTGAGGAGTCACGTTCTCCTCATTACGGGGAAACTTCATTGTAGCATGAAGCATACACCTTATATACAGGGTGTCCTACTCCTGTCGTATTATTTTGTATTAGCGGATTCTCGGGATAATTTGGAGATTTGCTTCAGCGAAAATGTCGAGGGAAGTAATCTGTTTAACTGTTTAAATTTTAACATCCTGTATCTTTGCAACCAAGTCTCAAATTAAAATTTTATCGCGGCAAACTCCACCCGAAATTGAACTGAAGAAGCAGCTTTCGTATCCATTTGATTCCCTGAAGCTTGGTTTACGAAAATACTTCTTTCGATCGTATGCAATTCGAAAATGATCGGCAACTCGAAATCTTCGCCGAGGAAAATTCCGCTCAAAATTAGCCAAAGAATCTGCTGTTGAAAAGTAACATGTAGATGCGAAACACTGTATACAATGCAAAAATCGTGCGGAGGAATTGTTAATGAAATACCAACCGACGGTGTTAACGGAGCTCTTTCATCTTCGAATTTTCCGAACTGCGTTTCGCTTTCGCCGCATTACCGGTGTGCCAGTTCAGATCGAAATTCATAGAATCGCCATTTCGATCGCTGCAAGTCTGCCTCTTCGGCTTAGCGAGGTCACGCAATCGTTTCGGGCAACGTCTGTTGTTGGTAGCGACTATACGGGCGTAAGTATCGAGAAGGAACGTCTTCTTGTCAGACTGATTGAACGGTTTCGACAATTGCTTGTTGTCCACCAACTTGTGCGCCTGGTGCTTGCCTAAAAGTATCGAGTCGATAACGAACAAAGTTGACCATGAGATAAAACAGATGGTGGACAAATAAGTAGTTCGATATAACATTATTAATAATTAACTCAGAAACGTGTAATTAAATTGAATAAATTAAAACAGGACGAGATATCAGACTAAATAGACTGCGGGAAAGTCACTGGCGAACAAACAAGTAAGTCGATAATTAAGATGTTTTGTCCATTTAACTCATGAATGTTATAAACGATTAATAATTCATCTAGATAAAATCGAAACAAGGTGATTCGACAAACAAACAGATAATTACAATATTTTATTCACATTCGTCGCGAATAATATTATAACGATTAATGATTCATTCAGGTGAGAACCCGAATAAGGACGATGTTCGCAAGATCTCACCTGTTGCGGAATAAATATGTCTCGTGGATGAAGGCGACGCGTTGGTGGATGGCTGCGCAGAGTTAGGATGCGGTTTTCGCTTTTGTTCGGGGGATTGATTATAATTATCGAGTGCGGGCACGTCACGAGCTTCCTGGAACGACGAACGGTTACGTACTCTAGCGTTGAGCGACAATTATAGCTACCTGGAAATCGTCCAGATTACACACGTCAGGTTTTTTTTCCGGTTTTTTCTCCGGTTTCTCACACTTCGGTGTATTTGCTGACCGAGTATCAGCATTCATTTCCGCAGTCGCGGACTCCACTTTTTTCCCACTGTTCGGCGAAAAGTATCAGTTAGCGGCAATATAACTTAACGCGATAACGCCGTAATCTTCGAGGAAAGTTACGTAGGACGAATTGTGTCGGTGGGGATTTTTGTTGGTGAAAGTTAACTTGAAATTTTGAGACCGAGCGTGTGAGACTGACGTGAGTTTTTGCGAACCGAGACACACACACACACACAGCGATATTCGTTTCTCGTTCGTTATTCAATTGTAATCTCGATCTTGCCTATGTTATCACGCATGCAAGCTTGCTTCCAGCGCTTCGCGATGTCGCGAGGCGCGAGTTTAATCATCTCGGGATGAATAATCCGAGTTGACCGGTGTTCTGTTGGTAAAGTTATAGATTTATTACAATAAAAAACACTAGTGGACGGTATAAAATATACATGTAAAGTATATGTATCAAAGTATATTAAATATATAATAATTCTTAAAATTACCAGATTCGTAAATTTCTCGCATTTGGACGGATGTGCTTTTGAGGTTGTGGCTCCATCGGGACGGATGTTTCGAGATTCGTGGAATGTCCGTACATTATTATTTCTACTGCTGTCAGTCATTTGTACTGTCACGACTCTATCTATCTTTCTCTCTCGAAACACGTGTAGAGTTCATAAAATAATGGCTGCGTTCAGCAAACACAAAAGTTGAGTGAGCGCTCGCTGCACTGAAGTGTCTGGAAGAGGCATTAAAGTTTCAAAAAGCCGACAGAGAGGCCAATTTTAAGGCATTCTTTCTTTGTCATATACGCATATATATTCTCTTTAATAAGAGATAGGTTATCCTAGACATCTATCTGTCTCTCAGGCATACTTTTCCATTCATCACTTTTCCAGATATCATATTTCAATCATTGGAAATATTCTTTTGTGTCAACCATGGTTTTAAAAGAATACCGAAGGCGATCATCACTCGACGGTTGCATAGCCGTTATGTTTTCTGAACGCGCTCATCATCCGACTGATATCGAAATGTATAATTTCATAATATCAACAACAACAGCTCACACATCGCAGTGATATTGCCTCAACATTGCCTATGATACCGGCACGGTCACTGTCAACCTCGCGTTTCCGCATCGAAAGATACATCTGTTGTGTCCTGCTTGTTGAGATTTTTGTGAACTAGAACGCGAATCGAGTATATTCGTGATGTGAGAAGCGGAGCTGCAAATAACGGTATGCTGCTACTACCGCATTCTATCTACCGTATACAAATGTAAACACGATCATAACCACCGTGGCGAACAACGAGTAACTGATGGCGGACGCGCCCGCGTTGCAATCCACGATTCTCCGTGCCCGCATGAAGTCTGGCCCGAGGTAGCGGCTGTACTCTCGCTTCTCCATCGGCACGACCACCAGCTGTTGCGTGGCGTCCTGGAATATGAGGTCGCTGTAAGGCGGCACGCTGTAGTACATGCTGAAGCTGAACTCGTCCAGCTCCTTGCTGCCGTAGAACTGCTGGGCGTATATGAAGAGATTGATGTACGCGTTGATCTGCGTTTCGTTGTAACCGTAGTAACCGCCGCGCGTGACTATCGCGTTCGCGGCCACCTTGCCGAGGTTGCACTTGGCGTAGCTCGTGGTAGGACGACGCGTGCCGTCCGGGCAGAGCAGCTCGAAGTCCTTCGTGAAGGTGTTGCGCGCCCAGAACTCCTTCCGCTTGCCGTCGGTGTTCTCCATCACCGTCGTGTGCTTCACGAAGGCCACGTCACCGCCACCCTCCACCAGGCACCTGAAGGCACCCGTGTAGCCGAAGTAATCCTCCGATGCGTCTCGGCGGCAGTACCGGTAACTCGCCCCGTGGCACAGATCGCACATGTTGTCGTAAGGCACGTCTGTAACGCGAAACACCCGGTGAAAAGGACTTCGCGGG